TTTCTCTAAGGCGTTTTTTTGTTAGTCTCCCTTTTCTACTTTTCTATGTAAGCAATTCCACTAATGAGGTGTCATTTGAAAAGTCAGAGGTCCCCTGAGTGGTTGTTAGGTAATATTAGTGGTCATAATACTAGTTATCTAAGGTGTTTTTTTTGTTAGTCTCCCTTTTTCTACTTTTCTATGTAAGCAATTCCACTAATGAGGTGTCATTTGAAAAGTCAGAGGTCCCCTGAGTGGTTATTTGGTAATATTAATGGTCATAACACCTCTGAAGTCAAGAAATTTGTAATTTTATTTTTGTTTTTAATTTGCCATTGTTAAGCCACACTAAAGGTATTTTGTACTGAAGCACTATTGTGACTGCAGCATCGCATATACCGTATACGACAGTGATGGGCGCACACATCTTATATATTATTTCTCTAAGGCATTTTTTGTTAGTCTCCCTTTTTCTACTTTTCTATGTAAGCAATTCCACTTATGAGGTGTCAGTTGAAAAGTCACTGGTCCCCTGAGTGGTTATTAGGTAATATTAATGGTCATAATATTATATATTTAAGGTGTTTTTTCTCTGTCTCAGTCTGATTTTATCTGTGGCTACAAAGAGGGATTAGTTTACTGTGTATTTCTGTCTGCGCAGTCTGCGCATGGGCCCGCTTGTCTATATATTAATACGCTAACATAAATTTTGTCTCCGTTCGTTTGGCGATTCTACCGAACCGATTTCAAAACCAAGAACACCGCTGGAAAGGCATTTTTCCGTAGATGAGTAGAGTTTTTATGGTTTCACCATTGGTTGAAAATTACGACCAAGCCGTCGTTTAAACGTTTTCGAATTGTGTATAGATGTTGTTGCAACATGTTCAATTTGATTTGACATGTTTCGCCTGTTGTTTCACTACAGATTTGAAATTAAGCTTTGAAATAAAGATGAATATGAAGATGAAGAAATAAATGATAACGATGAATAAAAAAAAAGGCAAAAGTGAAGGTAAAGACGAAAATGGGGACAATGGCAGATACATAAGAATTAGGGTAACTGAAAGGGTAAGAACATTTCTTGAATTTATGAAGTGAAACTTCTTTAGTGCCAGTTGGT